GGTAAATTTGATATGCCTGTTTCAGAAAAATCTTCGGTTTACGGTTTATAAAGGTTTAATAGTAAATTCGGTTTGTCAGGGTAATTTAAATAGGCTAAAAATGTGGAATTCAAAAAAAGTTCATTCTAACGGGGTTTTCGGATTAGCGGGTTTCAGATTATCAGGGTTGACCTTGTAGCAGTAATCTTGAGTAGATATTGAATGTCTTCTTGATGTGTGCAGATAATATTTGTAAAACCAGCATTAGTTGCTTTAATATGAAGTGCAGAATGGATTGTTCTACCACCAATATTTTGAGCTGCCACACTAGTAGGTGCCATAAGAAGATATTCCCTTTTTTGTTGTTGCAGGTAATTTGTAACAAGCTTAATTATGTAAGATTTGCCTGTGCCTGCTGAACCAGTCACAAAGAAGAAAGGATGACTGCTGTGTTTGCTATTATAACTACCCCAGGATTGTGATACAGTTGCATTGGTCTTTATCTGCAGCCAAGATCATTTCTCTACACAAAGGTAATCTGGGTTTTTTGAGGCTATCCAATTGGGTTTCAATAATAGACTGTAGTTCTTGAGTAATTGTAGAAACCAATGTATTAATAAGGTCATGGTAATATGTAATAAAATTACAAATACAAACTTGGGATGACTGATGCATTCTGTTTGTAGCTAACAGGTATTGAGCAGGATAAAGTGCAGCAAAGTGATCATGGTATGATTCATATTGTCCTTGCATATCCTGTTCATGATGAAAAAATTGTTTAAGTAATAATTGTTGAAAAAAGAAAATATCACCATTCTCAACAGTAAAAGGAGGGTAACATAATAGCAGAGGAGTTTTTTGTTTGGTAACTATTCGATCCTTCATATCTCTCCAGTATGTGGTTCTTGCATTGGGTATCTTTTTCTGTATCATATAGTTAGCATGATAATCTGGATATGTTATGTTATCAAACAAAGTATCAGCAGGCCTTGCAAAATACTTATCAATAGCATCATCCCAGTATGGGTCCATAGTAGAATCAGTTATCATATGAACTGGCATTATTGAGTGAGTTTGAAGATTTTGAGGAAGGGTAGAAAGGAATTGAACATTAGCTGTGGAGTGACATATGGGTTTACCAAGTAGAAGTGCCATTATCTCCATTGCTCCAACTCTCCTTGCAAGTATATGGGCTGAAGTTCATTATGATCATGAATTTTGAAAAGTTCAGTAGGCTCTGCTTTAGTCACATATTTAGTGAGATACTTTGCAAAACCCTTTGTCGTAACATATTGAAAATTGCAATGAGCTTCCCATAACAACAAAGTAGGAGCATGGTAAGGAACAACCCATCTATCTGCTTCTTTAGTACATCTGTAAATATATCTAGTTGATTTAGGGTCTGGGCATGTATGATATGAAAGAGGTTGTGGAAAATGTTTTTTACATTGCATACCATTTGGAAGTGGGCCTCCACATTCTTGTGGGCTACAAGTATGTATCTGGTGTTTCATGACTAAGTCAAAAAGTTCTGGTTCTTGCTCAGGATCAGGGACATCTGCACGAATAATATCCTTTGCTATAAGAGAGGGAATGTCTAATAATAGCCATGCTATACCATGGGTGTGAATAGCACCACAATTTTGAAACTCATCTCTTTCCCAAGAATGAATCCATTTACCCCAGCCAGCAAGAGCAGGTTTTTTCCAGAGATATTTTTCAATAGTTTGGAGATGATTTTGATAGTGAAAATATGCATGTAATGGCCTATTTGATGGTAATGGATCACAAGAATCAGTCTTTGACAAAATAATTTGCAGATGCTTCCAGTGTCCCTCTGCCATAGTTGTAGTGTATAAGATTTGTGGTAGTCCAAAAGATTGGATTATAGTGTTTAATTGAAGTCCTTTTTATTTTTGGTAAAAGAATGTTTGCCCAGTTCTTATAAAGGATGGCAATGTTGTAGTTACATTTTCGTTTATTATTGGCCTTCCATTGTATACACTTTGGGAAATAAGTTTAGCACCTCTAGGATGCAAATCATGATCAGTGCCCTTTTGTCTAAGCAGACGAGTATGATATTGATGGTTTCTAAGTTTTTCAAGATTAATATAAGACCAAAATGGCCAGTACCAGTCTTCCTGAAATCTTGGATCAGGACACAGTAAACACAATTTAATCCATTTGTGATAAGTATCAAGAAAAGGTTGCTTAGGTAAATTTTGTATATAATACTTATAATGTCCACATCCATGTGGAAAAAGATGTGGGAAGATTAATGCTTCAAGATCAGGATCTGCATAAGAAATAGAGTATTCAGTGCCATCAGTGGTTCTGACAGAGCCAGCTATCAAACAGTTATAATGAAAGTGTTCATTGTGAATTTCTGGATTTAAATCAAATGGAGGTACAACAACAGCTGATGGTCGAAGTGATTGAACATTGTTATTTATATTGGTTGATGTTGGAGTTATGAGAGTAGCAGTTGGAAATGTGGAAATTGATTGAGATTGAGCTTGTGATTGAAATAGAGCATATCCTTTATTGCATATAACATGGTTATGTGTTGACAACCACTGAGCTGCACATACAAGTGTATGATGAAACCACATTGATCCATTATTTTCAGTAAACATTGCACCCATATCCCCAGTGTAAAGAGCATGAGCTTGCTTATTACAAGAGAGGTTAAATGTACCAGAAAGGTGATGGAAAGTTGTGAATGGATTAGAGTTTTCCGAATGTCCAAGTGAGCAACTTAAATAAATTGGAGATAGCCAATGACAGTGAAACATTGGCACATGAGATATCTCTGTTGGAATAGAATCTAGTTGAGGAGGAAGCCATCTTTTCCTAGCATCATTACATGTTTTACAACACACAATTTTCTGAGAGTCACTTGGATGATGAAACAAACTGACCTGTGGAAAACAAATTAATAAGTTATAGGTAAAATTATTATCAAAGGGGACCCATTTGACTTCATCAGGTGTCAGTAATTTGGAACAGTGACAACATGGCATGCATGGATAATAAAAAAACTGCACAGAATTTAGATACTGTTTAGTTTAGTAGTATATTTGGAGTCTGCACAGACTCCAAATATACCACTTAGTTTGGACTATAAACACCCATTCATAAAACTCAAGTCATTCGAGCAATGGGTCAATCAAAAAACTCAAGTCATTTGATTGATGGGTGTGTCATAAAACTCAAGTCATTCGAGTGATGGGTAGATCATAAAAATTCAAGTCACTTGACCAATAATATATCTCTAGGTGTGATGTGTCAATTGCAAAACTCAAGTCAAAAAAAGGTAAGATTACATCTTGTGATTTACATATCGGTAGTAACAAGATTCTCAATTGCAGGTTTATGAATAGATATAATATCCTTTAATTCGTCTTCAAACTCAGAATCGTAATCTTGCTCTAGCTTTTCTATATAAGTTTTGAAACCCTTTCCAATCTCCTGTATTACACTACCTGGACAAAAGTATCAGCCACCCTAACTTTATTAATTGCTCAAAAGTGTACATAATAATTGGGACTAAAATTTTTATATGTTATAGTCTAACT